CACCTTTGGTTTGGGATTTGTCACCGACGAAACTACTCATTGTGATCCCTGACAGAATAAGTTCGTCATTAGAGCGACGTAAGGTCTTCATGATGTTCATAGGCATGATATTGACGGTAGCTCCACAGTCGACAAAAACTTTAGAAACTGGATATCCCTTGATATGGGCCGTCACATACAATGGCTTTAAATGATGGAGGTTGGCCGATGGTGAGCGAGGAAATAATTCGACCAAAGCTGCTTTGATATTGTCATCTTTTGTTGTAGAGTCAACTTCAGCAACGGATACAAAATCAACATGGCCGGCTTCCTCGGCGACTACATCACCATCGAGGAAATTCGACTGAGCTGTGCTGGATTGAAAAGCAGCGGGTAACACATGGACCATACTGATTTCCATGTTATCCAATACTGATTGGCCTATCGGGTTAGGATCCTCCTCGCTAACCTCATCTCGCGTCTGGTCGGCGACTATGACTTTCGTTGTTGTCAGAGTTGGACAAAGAGACTCTTCTGCTCCTTCTTCAAGGGTTTGATCCTGCGTTGCTGCTTCGGCAGCTTGTTGGTTCTGCGTGATTGCCTCAAGTGAGGTTGAGGTCGACAGTGTGCTTGGGGTCAAGATCCGAGCCTGCTCCTGGTAGTGTATCCGGGCATCCCTGGTGTCGAGATAAGCATCCAATCGCGCAACACATGCTATTTCATCGGTCGTAAGGCCGAAGAGAGAAACAGCCGAAAATACTTCGAAGTGATATCGTAAATACTGAAGGTCCTCCATTGAGAAAGGAAGGTCGGCTGCATCGATATCAGTGTATGGGTCGACTTCAAATCCAAGGACATGAGCTTCTCGTATATGCTGGAACCTTGCTTTCAATCCTGGGTCTGAGGTCTTCTGAATGATTCACTCGGCATCAGGACAAGTCAGGACTAGATCAATTGTATCATGAAATGCCTTCGGCAAACCATACAGATCATTGGCCGAATGTTTCTTATGGAATTCTCGCATGTACTCCAAAGCCTCTCCGAGGAACGGTGGGTGCAAATTCTGTCGAATTTTGATCAAAAGTTCTTGTATGGCCGACGGGGCTAATTTGCTTTCGGCCTCTTGCCTGAAATGCTCGAGACGTGCCTTCATCTCCCCCGGTCGAAGAAGACGTTTGATCCGTTTATCAGCCTCTTCGAACGTGGTTTCGATATCTCGGTTGACCAGCCATTTCCCTTGAACCAACTCTGTCATAATAGCTGGAGGTGGTCGTTCATCATCAGTAACAATTGTGTCATTCGGCCGCCATTGAGGGGCCAAAGTTTCTTAGGCCACTTGTCGGCGGGCCATGCAATCTATCCTTTGATGCCGGCGTTTCTGGGATTTGGACAGTGCGGTGTAGATGCCTTTCGAAGAATGATATGTATACCAACGTTGATCGCTAGGTTTGGGAGGTTTGAAAGTTTTTTGGCTTCGCGATGACTCCGAACTACTAGAATTACGTTTATAGTAGTCCTCGTCGTAAAATGAAGCATCAAAATCAAGACGACGCCTGACTGAGGGTGCCTCTTCCATCCTCACTTTGGGACCGAGCCTATCAAAAACCCCTTGATGTTGGCCTACGTTAGCAACCTTTTGCTGGGTTGCGGCCGTAGGTCGTTCCGTTATAAGTGAAGATGGCTTCTCCTCTGGCTCACTGTCGACCTTTGCTCTACATTTACTACACAAAACCGCTGTCCCACTGTCTTCATCGGTGGTATAATCCATCATAGGTTTGACAATAGCGGGTCCCGTTAAAGCTGTAGGTGGTTTGTTTGAACGAAAATCGACCATGAAACGTGGCCGAGAATTCTAATTCCGAAAGCGTTGCGTCGCAACATCTTCGGCCTTCCCTTTCCCTTTGTCTTTAGGTAGGCACGCATCGACCATATTTACTGTTGCCGTGGGGAACGGGTCAGTATCAACACTCATCTTCTTCTTTGGAAATTTCAGTTTGCCATTATCAATCCAGCTTTGGACGTTGTCTCGAAACACGACGCAATTGTTTGTCGTGTGTTTGCTTGAATTGTGGTATTTGCAATATATCTTTCCTTTAAGCTCTTCAGCCTTGGGAATGTTGTGCCCAGGCCGAAGTTTGATGATCCTTGCTGATAACAGTTGATCAAAAATTGCATCGGCCTTTGTAATATCAAAAGTATAAACTTTCGACGGTTTCAATGCTCCTTCAGTAGCCGAGCGGATTTTGACTTCCTTAGAGTCAACTTGAGTTAGTGCCTTGCAAACGTATGGCTTATCTATCACTATCTCAGCTGCATCCACACTAACGCATTCATCCTCGGTTGATGCATAATTAACAGCAGGATTCTTGTAAATCGTCCCCCGAGATGGAGCTTTCGAAATCTTTTCCTTGCGGAGCAAATATCATACTGCTCGACATGTTGGGCTAATTCGTACATATCCCGAAAGTTTACCCCCAAGAATTTCTTTTGTATTCGACGTCAAGACCGTTCAGAGCAAGTCTGACGAATTCAACTTCGGGGAGAGGCACTCGACACCAATTCCTAGCTGATTTGAATCTAGTAAGATAATCCATTGGTGACTCGTCGGACGCCTGAGCCATCCTTGCTAGTGAGGATACTGACATTTCCATTCCCGGCCGATAAAACTGCTCATGAAATTTCTCGACCAACTCCTTCCAACTCTGGACGGAGTTCGGTGGGAGGTTAATATACCAAGCGAACGCTGAGCCGGTCAACGAAAAATTGAAAAGTCACAGCTTGTGAAAGTCACTATTAACGTCTCTGCATTGTGCGGTGAAGCGAGCTACATGTTCTAACGAGGATAAGGATGATTCTCCAGCAAAAAGGCTAAAATCCAGGATCTTAAAACCTTTAGGGTATTCGACCTATTCCACGTAAGCTGGATACAGGTGTATAAACTTAGGGAACTTCGGCCCTTTCTTCATGGCCGAATCGATCATTCGTTGAACTTCGGTCATATCGACGGGCGTTACTTCCACTCTCTGGTCGGATCCGTCTGACCTACTATTCGACCCTCCTCCTCTTTCCAATTGAAGTGGCCTGAGCCGAGCAGGAATTGGCTCGGCCGGTGCACTTGATAATAGATTATTCCTCGGCGGTAAATGCTGGGCAAGATCGAAAGTTCTACTATCGCTGATCTTACTAACCAGTATTTCGAGTAATCTGGTTTGTGCTTCACTAGAATTGCGTATCATGTCATGAAGCTTATCGATTCCTCGACTCAATGTCTGTTCAACCGTCTGAGATTGCTCGTCAAGCCGTTTTCGAAGAAACGACCTTGTGGGTGGATCGGATCCTTCGCCACCATCTTCATCACAATCTTCTATTACTCCTTCATTGAGAACGCAAGTGTTCCTGTCAGGAATTTCAACACTGCGAACCTGACCGCCGAGATTAACTTCCCTCTCTCGGCGAGTTGCGCTTGTGGACTCAGGTGTCACGGCGCTGATGGGATTCTGCGCTTGTGGCACATGGTGTCCTATGTTCTGATTTGGTAGATCGGTTGTCGACTTTCCCATAGCTGTTTTCTTTTTTACCGATCGTGTTTCAATTGGCATGAACTTCGTAGTTTAGCACTGGGTTCCACTGGGCGTGCCAAAATGTTGACCCTAGAAACTACCAAGCCTACGTGGCACGCAGGCCGAGTAATCTATAAGTTAACTACGTCCTTCGGTGAATGCAGGGCGTGCCAACTCGTCGGTCGAGCTCGGCCAAGGAGTAAAATTTGTTGATGTTGCGTTGGGTGCGCGGCTGACTTCTGCGTCTTGCGATTGCGGCCGAGAAAGGAACACGTATCGGCCTCTTGGGCTTTCGATCCTGAAGACAAGGTTACTATTCTTACGAAGTTCACGAGTCGTCGTCGTCGGATTCAGTCACAATGATGTTATTCGTCAGAGTAAACTCACGCCGAATCGACACCAGAGTGTAAGGGCACAAATACTCAAAACAAATATAAGCTTTAATGGTGAACGTGGTTCGGCCATCCGAATGCCGAACTCTAAATCCCACTTGGGAATATCCAATCATAAAATAACTCGGCGAGCAAAGCGCCGAGCTCGATATACCGTAACACCTCACTTTGCCGAGAAGGCTAATGAGATGACCTCAATCAATAAGGATCCGGAAATCCTCCTCGATCGAGACTTGGATAGGTAATCAACCGTTCTCGCCGCAGTGCTGTTGATGCCAACGGAAGATACTACGAGATCGACTGATTCTACGGTGACAGAGTTATCTATGCCGACTTAAGATATCACCGGTTGCTTCCACAGTGCTGTTGATGCCAACGGAAGATGTGTCAGCGAAAAAGAAAGAATAAAAAAAATCTCAAGTTGTTGAGAGTTTGCGCAAGGCAGTTTTGTATTGATTTGCAGAGGGCTTGAATGATGCACAGCTTCCCCTATTTATAGCACTGGATCTCTTTGAATCCGAGTTAAAACCCTACTCGGACTAGGTCTTCTCCTTCTGATCAACACCACCTCGACCAGTCCTATTCTTACTAGGATTGTGAACCTAGTCCTCAACCGAGCCGGATTCGCTTCCGGGTTACTAGTCCTGCCGAGACTCCTCATTGCACTAGGACTCGACTTCTTGCGTTATGACTTAGCCGTCCTAGGTTTAGAGGCCCACGTACTAAACGATCCATGGCATTCTTGTCGCAAGGCCTTCCGGGCCGAGAATGATTCTATACTCGGCCCAAACTATTATTTTGGGCCCAAACAGTTATATAGAATCTACTTGCCACCTAGCACGACCGAACTGAGCAAGCGTTAAACAGAGTATTTGGAAATTTTGTCATTTAATTTACAAAGTTTTATCTACATATTTAGTCTCCCTAACATTACTCTTGTAATATTAACAAAAATTACTCCAAAATATGCATACCCTTGCCAGAACTAAAATCTACAAATTTCCAAACAAACCAAATCCCTAAAATAAATTATTAAACAAAAAAAAAAGAGCACACCCAAAACAATACATTTACTTTTAATTTATATTGCATTTATCACTTCAAATAACAACAATTTATCATATAAAACCACCGTATGCAAGGGAGAGTCTCTCTCCATGAAGGGGGTTTGGATGATGCAAGGCCAGGCTCTAAGGAAGCGCAATAGGCTACCAACACCGCAAGCTCAAGCAAAATACATTTTCAATACATCAACGACCTAGAGCTAGAGCTATAGCTAGCTACTACTCTAGTAACCTTCTTTAGTTCCTATATACCAACTAGTTCTACGAGTGAGTAGGACTAGAGGGCAAAAACCACAAGTCCAGTTACAGACAACTTGTAGGCTGAACTGTACCGGCAGTTGTTCCGCCTGCATGGCTGCATGAAGCTTCAGCTGCTTGGTTCTTGTAAGTGAGCTTCACATCTTGCAGTCTGATCCTGTTGCAAGGATACTTGGAACTACAATCGAATTTCACTGCCACTTCCGTCGCCGATGTACCATGAATGTCTTGATATGTCACGTCGCTGACCTTAACTCCGGAAACTTGGTCGGGGCAACCTTTGTTGTTAGGGCAATAATGTTGATCTATAACGATTGGATTTTGAACGTTGGTCATCACAACATGTTGGAAAAGAATGTTCCTAGCAAATCCAGTGCTAGGTCTCCCCCAAGACTTGATCCTTACGCCATTTTGAGTACCAGTGAATGTAACTGTTTTAACTGTAACATTTTGTACACCGGCTTCTTGTTGGTCCTTCCCTAAACTCCCAATGCTGCACAAACAAATATTGTTAACTTAATTAGAGGAGTATCAAAAACCAAAATTATGATACATTAACCTAGCTACATATGTACCTGATTCCATGGCCGGGTCCACAAGCCACGTTTTCAATCCACAAATTTGTGGTGCCGGGGCCAATTGAGACACAATCGTCACCGGTTGAAATTTTGGAGTTGAGAATGGTGACACCAGATGACATTTGGACATGGATGCCATCGGTGTTGGGGCTGTTGCCGGCGGCGATAACCTTGACACCTTGCATTTTCACATTGTGGCAGCCGTTGATGACAATGTGGAACATTTGGCTGTTTAGTGATACTAATCCACTCACCACAATGTTGTTGGAGTTGGAAAAACCCAGTGTCTGCACAATGATTAATTTACACAAATTAAGTCTTATATACAATCTAGTACATAATTTGGTATTAACTAAAGTATTAAATCTAAAAGGAACTTGATCTTATTAATATATAATTTCTCTAGTGCAAGCAATTGGTTATAAAATAAATGGTAGTTTGACGTATGAAATTATCATTTATATAAATATCATACAAGCACATGCATTTGTGGTGTTATTTATCATCAATTTTATGATATTGTTCCTTTGTTCTGACAATTAGTACAGGCATGAGATTGAGTAAGAAATCGTGTGAGGGATGGACGGAAGATAATGCAAATTCACATGTGGATGCATTATATATTGCTAGAAACATGAATAGAGAAGGACTACTATCACGGTGGTATCTCGGAACATTGATAAAAATTATGTATAAAACCCTATTCACATAATTTTATATTAATGTCCAGGAACATCATGGTGACGAAAAATTCATTCTATCGAAATTTCTCTCTCGCGCATGAACATGGCATTATTTATGCAACTTCATGTACAAGAACTCAAGCTAGGTCTTTAGAAGTAAGAACATAATGAGACTAATGCTCTTTAATTGGGATTACTACCTGTGCTTAATCCTATTTCCCAGAAAACCGAATGACCCATATATAGTTAAAAAAGTAATTAATGAAAAAACCCGTCATTGGTACGTAACCGGTGGAAACTGACCAATTAATAGTTTAATAATGCTCCACTAATTGATCACTTCCTTAAGTGGCCACCTAATTAACTTAATTTTTACTTGATGCATGCACGTAATCATATAGTTAATACTTAATATCTTGTATATAAATGAAAGGTACTGGGAGAATGTTGACGACGTTCCAACTTTTCTTTAAAAAAAATTAACTATCGATGAAATAAGTGATTAAGTTAAACTTACGGTTGCTCCGCTGGGGCAACTCTGGCCTGAGGACTTGCAACCCCACAAGCCGGTGCCCTTACCGTCCAGAACTCCACCGGAAATGGTGACCCCATTGACATGCTGAAAGAAAAGCCAGTAATCGGCGTTTCCAATGACCCGGTAATCAGACGGGGCCACGAGGGTGCCGGCAATGCGGAAGGTGATGGCGTTGTTCTTGCATGGCCCAGAGAACACAGCATTGCGAAGCAAGAACCTCCCTGCGGGGACATAGATGACAGCGGGATTGACGGAGGCACAAGCTTTGGCCCAAGCAGAGAGGAAGGCCTGTGTGGAGTCAGTCCTGCCATCTGCTTTGGCTCCTAAACTGCTCACACTGAATGTGACGGCTGCAGCATCCACACTAGTAATACTTACAGCCACCATCATCAACGCAAGAACTACTGCAGCTGGGTGCGAGAGGCTTTTGGGGTTTGCCATTTGTACAAGCTGTGTAGACTAAGGGTTTCGGGTTTTTCTGGTTTGAAAAATGAGTGAGATGAAGATTGAGGAGGGAGAGTGTTGTGGTGGTGGGGAAGTTGGAACGGTTTGAGGGGTATTTATAGGGGTAAAATGAAGAAATGGACATAATAAATAATAGACCAGTAATCAGGTAACAAAAATGAAAAAGCAAGCAAGCAAGCGGCGCCGAAATCACCTTACGTTGGTTTATTTCTTTATTTTTTTGGGATGTACTTTACAAAAATGACCTTACGTATTGCGACTTGGAGTACTGTAATCACGTATTAGTATAACTATGCAACAGTGCACACCAAAACACCCCACCTGGGCCACCTCCATTTCTGAAAAGTTCATCTTTCTTTACGGTTTACTATATTAGGATGCTGATGTTATGCTCTTCCATTTCTACCTTTTCCTATAGCATTATTGTATAGTACGTAGCTTGATTGCTTGAAGCGCAAGTTCAATGCCCTCGTCTGTTCCCACCTCTCTACATTTCATATCTCTGTGATTACTTCAAGTTTAATGCCCTCAATACAAACCGTCATTCATTTTATATCTTAATTCTCTCTTGGAAGATCAAATATGCTAAAAATAAGATAAAATTGTCCTCCATTTTCTCAAAAAATAGTTGAAAGACACATTATTACTATTATTTCTTTAACAATTAAGCAAGATAAGCTTGTTAATTTTGTTGGTGGTGGGTAATACTGTGGTCGACGGAATATGTTTTTACTGTAATTATGGTTTTGCATACCTAATTGCATAATAAGGACAAGTTACAGATTCCCATAGGATTCCAAAATACAAAGGTTACTTAGTCCATGTTTTTTAAATGGTTTTTTCTTTTCCATAATAATATCAAACAGGTCACAGGACAAAATATCAAACAGGTTACAGGACAACTGAGCACAATTTATATATGTGCTTTCATTTTGTGCTCTCCTAGTACTAGTAGGAAAGTAACGAAACCAAACTTATGGCGGGAGTTGGACTACCTCTACCGCACATAAATATTTGCAGGATCTCCCTACCTTATCCATCTTCTGCTTTTGGATGGTCAGTTTATGCAACAATGTTAACGGACAACATACAGAAGAGCGCTGCAGCACTCCTCATACATGTGAGAATGTGTGTGTGTGTGTGTGTGTGTGTGTGTATTATATTATATGTATGTGGGAATGCAATTCAACATTTTGCCAGCCTTGTTAGGTTGGGTACGTAGGGTTGTAATTTGAAGGAAGCTGGAGGATACGTACGTAATTATACTTGTGTGAATAGGAGGGGAAAAAGCATTAGCAACATGGGGTAGGGGCAGACGCAGAGGACGTGACAAATGCATGCGAGTGGAGTAGAAAACGGAGAAGCAAGCGGCGGCGTGTCATGCCCAAAACCCCGGGCTATATCTCCTATAGTATGTAATACATCTCCAACTAACACAACACAACTCCCTTCCCCTCTCCTGATTCTGTTAGTTGAATCTTTATTTATGTAATATTATTTGAATTCAGGGAACTTGGCTATATGCATGCACGGACCCCACTTTCCACGCGCATCCTCCCCCTCCCATTCCATGCATCAAGTTTGAGTGTTTTCGTTGGTTTCTTGGGTTTTACTATTTTAATAGCTTTAATTTGCTAATTGTCTTTGGAGATGGTTCCTTCCTGATCAGGCTAATCTTTATATCCTAATCAATCATTTCACACACTTTCTCAAACCTAAAGTTTGTTATAAACTGCCTAACTGTATAAAGTAGCTGCTATAACTGTTTCTCCTATTTACGCAGTACATTTTTATCTTCTTTCTGGCAACTCTCTTTTCCTTTATGCAAATTTAAAATGAGATTGTTGTGTAGCAAAAAATAATACAAAAAATTTTAGAGTTGATACCTGAATTTTAACCTATAAGAGACAAGAATGCTATAATTAAATTGGCAAGATCCACATCCGTTCCATGCGTAGTTCAACTCTAAAAAAGATCTGAGTTGCTCACTACAACTTCTCTAAGCTCTGCCCATGGCAAGGAAAAAAGTCACATGCTTTATGCACGCTTTCCTAATTGAAGACTAACTCAATGAAGCAAGGAATCACAATCAAATCCAATCCGGGATTACACAAGACAATTCCAAGATATTATTTATTCAATAGCATACATTTTCGGAATAATTCTTTCATACTGCATCCAACAGATAACACACCTTTGCCAAATGGACATCGACACATGGCATGTCAATTCCTACACATGTGGCTGGCTATCTCCCTATAAATACTTATTTCTCCACCAATTTCTGATAAGCTTTTATTACGCAATAAGGTATAAACTCTCTCTCTTTTCATACTCTTTTCAGAGAAACTAAATTAGGCATCGGAGATGCATTGCTCACCCCCAACTCCTTGAGTGTGTGACTTTGGTTATTTATCAAAGGTATTTAATTGTTTTGTAGGTACAAATTCATCAAGATTAAAGACGACAAATTTTTACTACCACAATTGTTATCTTCAATTAATAAGATAAACTTTTATTGAACCCTTGCTAGTGTTTGATTTTGGTCCTTTGTTAGGTACACTTAATCCCTTACTTGAAGAAAAAAAAAAGAGAACTAAATTTAACTCCAAAACTATGGTCAATTGTAAGAAGTAATCCATTAATTGTTGCTTACAGATTTAAGTCCATTGACTCTCTCTCTCCAACGCATCATATTCCAGTTTTGGATCATGACACTAAATTTTGCAAGCTAAATGACATAGAAACTAATAATTGAATTATTATTTAAGCATTGATAAACGTGCTCATTTCTATTAGTGACACATCATTAATTTAGTTTGCAAATTTAGTTTCCCTAACATTATTATCCTTATATTATATTTTAGTCACCCAATTATCCCTAACATTTGTAGGCATTCAAACCGTAGAGATTGCACCATTAGGTCTCATATTCAGTTTGCCATATTTTATGGCTTGATGTCCGCTGTTCCAATTTTTTTTTATGTTTAACTGTACAATATTATTGGGACGCATATACCTCTTTGGAATTGTTTATGCTTGAAAAATGATATAATGTTAACAAACCAAGTTACGTGGTTAAATCTACAAACCTACATCACAAGTAGATTAAGACCACTAATTTTCATCAAGGACTGATTAGCAATATTACCCGCAACTAAGGTTTTTATATCCATTAAACCTACAACGAAGATTGATTGCCAAAATATTTACATACAATTAATACATTTTATAATTCTACTTGAAAGTACTAAACCTCTAACATAGCTTGATTAACATGAAACTTACCCAAGTCAAGTTTATTATATCAATAAACCTACACAAATTACAACAAGATGTCCTAGTATCCACCACCTCTTATTTGCTGATGATAGCTTTCTTTTCGCCCATGGTACTCTTAGTGAGTGTCAGGAAATTAAACATGTGTTACGAACGTATGAGATGGCCTCTGGACATGCAGTGAACTTCGAGAAGAGTTGTGTCTCGTTTAGTCCCAATCTTACAAGCTATGACAAGCAGTTGCTTGCTGACTGTCTCGGCATGAGGATGGTGGAGTTCCATGATAGATATTTGGGTTTGCCGGTGCTAATTAAGAAATCGAAGAAGGAAACATTTGCATATGTGAAAGATAGGCTTTGGAAGAAATTACAAAGTTGGCAGGGAGGACTTTTGAGTAGTGCGGGACATGAATTATTGGTGAAAACAGTGGCTCAAGCTTTGCCTATGTATTCCATGCAATATTTTCTTCTCCCTAAATCTTTTTGCGAAGAGTTGAATAGGATGATTGCAAAATTCTGGTGGAGTGGTGATCTGGGCAAACGGAAAATGCATTGGCTTAATTGGCGATGTTTGTGTAAGCCTAAGAATGAGGGAGGCTTTGGTTTTAGGGATTTGTATGCGTTTAATCTTGCTTTGTTGGCAAAGCAAGCATGGCGATTTATTCATCAACCTGAATCTCTTGCTTTTCGAGTTTTCAAAGCTCGATATTTTTTTATGATAGGTTTTCTGGAGGCCCGAGTTAACGCCAATAGTTCGTATGTGTGGAGAAGCATTGCCGCTTTGAGGATGGTGATTGAGAAAGGTTACCGTTGGCTATTGGGTAATGGTTAGAGTATTTGTATATGGAAAGATAATTGGGTGCCGAGAGATTCCTACTTTTGGATTTTGACCCCACCTTTGGCGCACTGGGATACTGAAGCCAAGGTGGATGGGCTATTCTGGAATGAGTCGAAGCAATGAGATTCTCGATTATTGATTGATTTATTCTCTACGGAGGAAGTAAAGTTAATCTGAAGCCTTCCCCTTAGCACGAGGAATGTTGATGATCGTCGAACTTGGCACTATGAGCGGGATGGCAATTTCACAGTCCAGAGTGTGTACCATGTTGCACTGTGTATCCATGTAACTAACGATGATGGTGTCGCTACTTCATCTTCTTTAACTAGGAGTATTGAGGAGAAGTTCTGGAAGAAATTATGGAGTGCGTGTGTCCCTGGGAAGGTAAGATCTATGCATGGCATGCGTGTTTGGCCTCTCTGCCTACACGTTCGAACCTTAGCAAACGGCAAGTGACGAGTGAAGTTTCGTGTGTGGTTTGTAGTGGGCAAGTTAAATCAACTGAGCATGTTCTTAGATAATGTAGTTTGGCGAGGGCGGTGTGGTTTCGAAGTTTGGGGTTAAGGGTTGAGATAGGCAACAGGTTGTCTCTATTGCAATGGGTATATCATATATCTATATAGTTTCCTTCATCGGGATTTGAATTCTGCTTGATGTTGATATGGGCACTCTAGAAGCAAAGGAATGATGCGTTATGGAATGGTAATTTATTGCCACCGCATAAGATTGTGCTTAGAGTTGAGGGATGGTTGCATGAATTCCAAAAATGGCATAAGACTGCTACAAAAAAGATTAACAGTGTGGTGCAGAAGTGGAGTAAACCTGAGGTGGGCTGGGTTAAATGCAATTTTGATGGGGCGTGGAGTCAAAGTGGTTTACGGGGAGGGGGGTTTGGGGTAGTGTTGCGTAATCACTTGGGGGAGTTTATGGCCGCTTCTACAGG